ATATAATATATATATATATTTCATTCCAACCACATTTGTTATGCTGTTCATATCTTATTCAGAAATATATGTGTATTCCTCAAATTTAAGGAAAAGATAGCAACAATCTAACACCAGTGCCTAAATCCTCACTTTAAAAATATTGGTATCTGGCTTGTTTTCTTTTTAAACATATATCTTTTAAGATCAATGAAAAACTTATTTATATGTCACTGAATTTTCATAATTAAACAATTTGAATGTCATACTGATTTGTAAAAAGATTCAGCTAAATGGTGTTATTCTGTAACTTCAGATATACATGTCTATTAACATTGAAAGCACCAATGCATTTATAGACCTGTTGGCTTCATCTTGAACAGAAGAGTCTAAGAAGTACTATATGTGTTATTCTCAGCTTTTCTTTTTCCTACACAGAGGACAAAGGGGAATATATTGATGTTCATTAAAAAGACATTGTTTAACCTGGGAGAAGAGAACATTTCTCAGTTTTTGCCAGGGAATCTAAATACCAGATCAAACTTTTGTATTGATCCTTGCCCCAAATTTCCCATGAATGCTTTTCTTTGTTAACAAAGAATTATGGTGCAGTAACTTTGCCAGTATCCAATAAGTTTTCTCATGACATACCTTATATAGATAGGAATAACAAGAAAATTACACATAGATCGGAATATTGCAAAAAATATATGGAATAAAATGTGCACATATCCCATTTATCTATTCTCATAGCTTTCTAAACTGTTCTCCACACTATAGCCAGGATGAGCACATCATTCTTGCTTAAAATACTTTAGTGATCTTGGAATATTCTTATAAATAGGAGGTTCGTTTGTATTGTCTCTACGGAGCTGGAAGTTGTGACCTTTTTTACCTCTAGCCTCATCTGGGACTCTACTCCTCTTAATTTTCCCTGCTTAAGTTTTATTACATTCTTTCTCCTTCTGGAACACACTGAAACTCCCGCCCCCCTTCCCCCCACCCCGGAGGGCCTGGGCCTTTGCCTGCTTTATTTTCTCTTGAGAAGCTCCTTGACCACCCTCCAACTCTTTGCCTAGTTAACTCTATTCATCTTCCTGTTAATTTGTTACTTTTCAGCCTTTTCAGC